TTTCTTAAGACAAAAGCTAATCCAGAGTAAGACCTTAATTCTTTTCAGTTCGTGAAGGCTGAGGAGAGATGAGGAAGCTATAGAAGAAAAGTTTGATGGTAATAGAGGTTGGTTCCTAAAGATGCCATCTAGGACTTGAATAATGAGAGAGAAGTCGATGCCTGGCCTCAAAGCTTTAAAGGGGACAGGCTGTCTCTTGTTAGGGACTAATGCAGTTGGTGACTTTAAACTGAAGTCAGTGCTCATTTACCATTCTCCAAATCCTAGGATTCTTAAGCATTAATATAAATGTATTCTGCCTATGCTCTATAAATGGAACAACAAAGCCTGGATGACAGCACATCTGTTTACAACGTGGTTTACTGAATATTTTAAGCCCACTGTTGAGACCTACTACTCAGGATAAAATTCCTTTGAAAATGTTACTGCTCATTGACAACACACCTGGGCACGTAAGAGCTCCGATGGAGATGTCCAACGAGCTCGATGTTTTTGTGCCTGATAACACAGCATCCATTCTGCAGCCCATGGTTCAAGGACTGATTTCCACTTTCAAGGCTTCTTTAAGCAATATATTTTATAAGGCTATCACTGCCACAGATAGTGATTCTCCTCTGATGGATCTGGACAAAGTAAATTGAAAACCTTCTGGAAAGGATTCACCATTCTAGATGCCATTAAGAACATTCATGATTCATGGGACATGGTCAACATATCAACATTAACAGGAGTTAAGAAGCAGCTGATTCCAGCCCCATGGAGGACTCCGAGGGTTCATGACTTCAGTGGAGGAAGTAACTGCAGATGGGGTGGAAATAGCAAGAGAACTCGAACTAGGAGTAGAGCCTGAAGATGTGACTGAATTGCTGCAGTCTCATGATTAACCTTTAATGGATGAGGATTGCTTCCTACGAATAAACAAATAGTTCTTGAGATGGAATCTACTCCTCATGAAGATACCATGAAGATTGTTGAAATGACAACAAAGGATTTTAGAATATTATGTAAACTTAATTGATAATGTAGTAGCAGGATTTAAGAGGTTTGACTCTAATTATGAAAAAATGTCGGGGCGCCTGGGTGGCTCAGTTGGTTAAGCGGCTGCCTTCGGCTCAGGTCATGATCCCAGGGTCCTGGGATCAAGCCCCGCATCGGGCTCCCTGCTCAGCGGGGAGCCTGCTTCTCCCTCTCCCTCTGCCTGCCTCTCTGCCTACTTGTTCTCTCTATCTCTCTGTCAAATAAATAAATAAAATCTTTAAAAAAAAAAAAAAAATTTCTGTGGGTAAAAATGCTATTAAACAGCATCACATACTACAGAGAATTTGTTCATGAAAGTGTCAATTGATGTGGCAAACTTCATTGTTTTCTTACTTTAAAAAATTGCCACAGCCACCCCAACCTTCAGCAACCACCACCCTGATCAGTCGGCAGCCAACAACATCAAGGCAGGGCCCTCCACCAGCAAAAAGATCACTACTCACTGAAAGGTCAGATGATAGTTGGCATTGTTTAGCAATAAAATAATTCTTAAGGTATGCACATTGTTTTTAGACACAATGCTATTGCATACTTAACAGACCACAGTGTAAACATAATTTCATATGCCCTGGGAAACAAAAAAATTCATTTGACTCACTTTATTGCAATATCTGCAATATTTCAAGTATGCCTATAATCACTTTATAATATCTCAATTCTTAGTAAAAGGGATGATCAGAGACAAGTATGAATAAAATCTTTGTTGACTGTCCTAAGGTTCATGGATGACTAGGTGGTGGTGGAAGGTTCTGCTGCTCTGGCCTTTTCTAGAACTGCATGTTTCATCTGGGTTTCCCACTTTTATCAGTGCTGAGTGTTGGTTGAGTACATGGGCTTCAAACTGCATGGACCACAGAACTAGTGTTTTGCCATGTGTAGGCCATGACAAACAAAGCCTCAGTTTCCTGACCTAAAAATGGAAGTAGTGTTCTTCTCCCAAAGTTACTACCACCGAATGAATTAATGTATGTAAGGGCTTAGCCTTGTGTGATCACTGAATACACGTTCTATTTACTTTGGGATATTCCATATCTCCTTTCCTGTCTAGCATCACTGTTCACTGTGCCAGGTACTGTGCTAAGTCTGGGAACCAGATCCACCTGTCTCTGCTCTCGTGGATGTTCCACTTGGAACAAGAGGCTTACTTGTTCATCTTTTATCTCTGTGATATTACTGAGGCCTGAGTTGGGGAGGCTGGGGACCATATTTGAACCTAGGAGGTCTGCCCAATTCCAGAGGCTCTGCTCTTAACACTCTGACTCCTCAATGCCAAGTATTTCTTACAGTTAGCAGTTGGCCTCTGAGCAGAACACAGTGATAGACCATTAAATGGATGGGCATGGATGCTTTCTGAAGGCTCTGGGTGATGTTGCGGTTTGATGTCAGCCATTTCCATAAAAACCATTGTACATCCATGTGAAATAGCCCACGTTTTAAGAGTACTTACTATTAGAGAATATTTTTGAAGGATATATGGGGTAGGTAGATTGGAGCCTGTAAATAGAGCTGCTGTTGGATTTGCTGTTACTATACCCTGAAGAGTTAAGGTGAGCAGAAATTTACAGGTGTCTCTTGAGCAGTGGCATGTTGCTGGTTGGGGCAATTTGAATCATTGGGCAATAATAAAGGGCTTTACCTCCCCCTGAGTCCTTTAAGTGGAAGACAGCAGATGGTGGGGGGAAAGATGCCTGTGATTTTTTTTAACCACAGAGAATAGGTCAGGAACCAAAAGTGTAGAAAGGTTCTCATACTTGTCCTGCTTCCATTTCTTCCTGCCCTGTTAGAGCCCCTCTTCCTAATTTCTGGCTCCTCCATAGCAAATATGTTAAATTTCCCCTTATACCCCCCTCCCCCTAGTCTTCTCTCCATGCATATTTATATAGGGATATGTGTATGTTCTAGATAAAATCTGAGTAAACTACGCTTTGTATTTTGCTGTATAGCCTACGTTCATATTTGTGAATTCTCCCCCTTCCCCTATAACCATTCCAATTTAACCTTTGAAAAATCCTCTTTCTGACAGGGTTAAATAAAATATGGAGACAGCCATGTGATTGAATACTGTATTAGCCATTTAAAAACCATGATTTCTAAAGTTTGAAATAATATCCCTGTTTGTCAAGTACCATATGCTTCTTTGATAATGTAGCCTGTTTTAATGTGTAGTACATTGTAGGCGGCTGGGAATTGGATTATTTTTATACTGATGTAGATGCTTTTGCAGTAAGCCTTTAGATGGCAGCATCTCTCACCACAGACCACACTCTGAACGGAACTCCTTAGACGCATAAGATGTTTGATGCAGAAGGATGCTCATGGATCCGCCTGACCCACCGTTTCAGTGTGCGGTGACGGAGCCAAGGCCGGAGAGGGTCGGGGCTGTGGCTCAGGGCTGAGCACGAGGGAGGGCTGTGGACCCCTGTCTGCCACTCTTTCCACCAGCTTTTCCCTTACTGGTGTGAAATGCTCCCTGTCTCTGTGGCCTTGTGAAAAGTGCACTTTAAGTAGAAGGCAACCAAGGAAAATGAAAGTCAAGTGGGTGAATCTGGGCCAGATGTAATGTGATGTTTGAAAGGAACAGACAGGATGGGCAGTCTTTTTTTTTACGTGGCTTCATTTAGATATAATTCACATATCCTACAATCGATGTTTGAAAGGAACAGACAGGATGGGCAGTCTTTTTTTTATGTGGCTTCATTTAGATGTAATTCACATATCCTACAGTCCACGCATTTAAAAAGTGTACACTATAGCGATTTTTAGTATATTCCCAAGGTCGTGCAGCCATCACCACTAATTTTAGGACATGTTAATCACTCCAAAAAGAAGTCTCATGCCCTTTAGCCGTCACCCCACTAGCCTGCATATCCCTCAGCCCCTGCCAACCATTCGTTCTTTGTTTCTATAAATTTGCCTGTTCTGGATATTCCATACGAATGGACCCCTATAATACGTGGTCCGTGGGGACTGGCTTCCTTCACGTAGCATCGTGTTTTCAGGTTTCCTCCTGTCGCATAAATCAGTACTCCATCCCTCTTTGTTGCCCAATACTGTATGGCTAGATCACATTCTGTTGTCATCAGCTGATGGGCATTTGGCTCTTGATAATGCTACCAGAAGCATGGGTGTGCAAACTCCTATGCGAACATGTGTGAGTATAGAAGTGGAATTGCTGGGCCCTATAATAACTGTGTGTTTAACCTTTTGAGGAACTGCCAAACTGTTTTCCGAAGTGGCTGCCCCTGTTCATTGCCACCACCGATGTGTGAGGGGTCAGTTCAGTCTCACTGAGAACTCCAGATTTTCCGATGATAAGTTGAGGTGGAGGGGAAGGTGAGAAATAGGACTGACGGGCTCTCTTGTGTCCCCGAGTCGCATGCTGGACCGGCCTCTGTGCCTTTTTGAAGGCGGCTCTGTCATGTGCCAAGAACGCCATCGCCTTCTCTGCCCCACACAATTGCAGTGCGTCACCAGTGTGATAAAATGCTGCTCGGAGTGTGTTGATGGGACAGCCTGGCTGTTTGTAATCCTTGCCTCCTGACTTTGGAGATAGCAAGCAACCCAATCGTCTTTGTCCCAGTTAGAGACAAATTCCAAATAAAAAGCCTGTTGCCAGAAGCTGTCCAGGTTTGAACATGTCAAAGTCGCTTCCTTGATGTACACCAAAGACAGCTATAGAGTCTTCACAGCGAAAGAGCAGCTTTTGTTTTTGTTTTTGTTTTTGTTTTGTTTTTGTCAGAGTTGACATTCTCGGAACTGAGCTTACCCATTCCTGCTTTGGCAGCCCAGGCTGGACATTCCCACGTCTGTACTGAAATGACCGTGTGTGTGTTCAAGGGAGGAGAAGGGGCCGGCTCTTCCTTGAGGCATATTTGGGTCCTGGTGAGGACACACGCTGTACATGCCGAAGCTTTGTTTGCGTCTGGAAAAAATTAGCCACACTCAGATCTTTTCCACTGCAGGTCCCGTCAGGAAGCCCAAGTATGTGGAAAGCCCCAGAGTGCCTGGAGATGCAGTTATAATCCCGTTCCGAGAAGTGTCCAAGGCAGCAGAGCCCAATGAGAATGGTAAGAATATGTTTTCAATGATTTTTACCCCGAAAGATTTTACATAATGACATTCCATTTCTGAGTGAAACTTGAGTGCCTCTTGTAGGAATGCTTTGCCAAATTGAATTCTATTTGGGAGGTTTTTTCCACCCCCTCCGCCAGTTCCAGAGATCTGTTGAGCTAATGTAAATTCTTGGAATTACATACACCGCGTAGGAATAGTCCAGTGGGTGCATATGCATTGTTTAAGGGTTGAGCCTTATTTCCTCTCAATTTTGACCTCCCCGGCATAGGGAGATAAGGAAAGCCAGCCAGTAGACGGCTTCCAGCACTCTTCTGTTTTGCTTTTTTGGTACTCCATCGTTTTGGAATATTCAATAGGCTTTGGCTGAAAAGCTGACACTTTCAGTGGACAAGCTTCTGATAACTAGCCTTCTTAAAAGCATTTGGTAGCTTTTGAAAGCTTTTTGTCTTTTAAAGTTTTTCTTTAGGGAATGTTGAACTAAGAGCCAAAATAAAATAAAAGTCCAAATTAATTGAAATCTTTTAGTAAAGATATTTTATACCTTTTTTTCTAGATCTGGAAATGAATGTAACAGACATTACAAACTATAGTATTTCATGGATGTATTAATTGTTCTTTATTTCTTAAATCAGTTTGGGGATTTTCCATTTGTTCCATTCCTGGGTGGCAAGGGGTCCCCAACTCATGACTCCATGGTCTTTAATTTGTATGTTTGAACTTGTATCCCATTTTCCTGCAGGAACATGTGGTTAGGAATCCTGGCTTATGTAGAGAAGCCCATTTTACCCTCAATGTAGATACAAGTTTATGTAGTAATGCTGAAAGAGAAAGCTCATCCCTATTTCCCCTTTGGAATACCTGGCATCCTCCTCTCCCTAATTGTGGGTAGTCAGAGGTACAGCTCTTTTATGTTCTAACCACTGTGTGTGCATTTTGTGTTTCTGTGGTTATGTACTGTGGAGAGGTGTGAAGTAGGACATGGTAGGAAAATGGAATAAGTAGGGTGGTGGTGAAAATAAACCTAAAAATGAGCTGGGAAGAGGAACTGGCAGAAGATAAACCTCAGCAAGGGGAGTTTGGAATGGGTGGGAGATGAGATGGGGCCAGGAGCTGGGCATCGTGGGCAGGGAAGGGTGCTGTTGCCTGCGTCTTGGCATGAGAAATTGTACTCTTTCCCTTCTGTCCAGGCACCAGGCTGTTTGGTTTGCGTAAGAGGTTCACAACTAGGATTTGTGCTGAGGAGGGGCAGGGTGCCAGGTGCGTGGTGGTGAAGAGGGGAGAGTCCCCGGTGGTGTCTGGTTAGGATGGCCATTCTACAGACATGAGGACCCTCTTGGTGGTGAATTCGTGGTGATGGGCATTTGGTGATTTTCAGATCCCTTCTCTCATTTCTGTGCTGGATTTTGAAAGAAAAATAAAAACCTGGTCCTCTGAAGTGAATATCAATGATCCGATTTACCAAGCCATTTGCCCATTTCAGAATAAACCACCCCTTACCCTCATCCCCACCCTCCAAAGCCTTTGAAGTCCTGGTCATTTATGCCCTTGGTGTTTTGACTGGCCTAGACTCCATGATGTAACCTTTCTCCCTGGTGGGGAATACCACTGAGGTCCTGTGCAGAGTTTAGGACTCCCTCTGGGGTAAGAGTGGGGGAGAAATTTAGGATTTGTATTGGGCAGAGAAGAGAGGTTAAAAAGAGTTCCGATTGTCCACTTTTCTCCTCTTGCCCAAGGTGGAATCAGCTATCTTTCTTGGGGGAGGCTTTCTCGACTGCTTGGCTGCCCGGTGAACATTCCAGTGTAAAGATTGATATTACTGGAATAGCCTGGAACCCGAGCCCTCAGATCTGGCATTGTCTGTGTCCACGGGGACTGAAATTACGACCCACCGGGGCATTGTCTGTGTCCACGGGGACTGAAGTTACGACCCACCGGGGCTCTGAGTACAGACCAGAATTTTCCGGAAGTTTGGCCTAGAATTAAGAAATAGGGTGCGTTTTCCCTTTAAGTGTTCAGGAAAAGGGGAAGAGGTACGGTTCATGTTCATAAGCATATGGCCTCGTGTGGATAGCCGTGATGTTGGTGGAAGCCCCGGCAGTTATCTGCTGGTTCATGAGAAAGTGGTTGCTTAACACAGTTCAGCTGGACAATTAGTAAAGGATGGTGTGTTTTGTAATCCCTAGGGAATCTTTTACATTTCAGTAGGGTTCATTAAATCTGCCGTATTAAAGTGTAAATTTTATGTCCAGGTCAGTGAACCTAAAGGAGAGGCTGAAGCAAACTACAACTAATTGAGTTTGGGTATTAACCCAAGCATTCACTAATGTATGGTAGACAAACCCTACTGTCTAGGGTTGAATATCAAGCATCATCACTCAAGTTTTAACTCTTAAAATTTTGTCTTAGCTTTTCATATTTCCTTTGGGCATTTTCTTTTTAATCTTTCAGATGTTTTTCTGGATGCTGTCAATGACAGCATTTCCGTATTTACCGGCCTAACAAACTATTGGAAACAGCTCTTTGTGAAATGCTTTCAAAATTTCCCATAGGATCATGAAATATCAAGTTACTCCTAAATGTTTGAAATACCCTTCCCAGGCTAAGTTGCTTCATTTTATGGTTTAGCTCCATAAATTCTTGATTCTTAGCTATTTGAAATTTAAATCAAAGCAAAGCAAAACCAATGAGCACCTTGAATTTGTTCATTAATTTATAAGTAATTGTATTTATGCAAATTTGCATATTTTAGCCATCTGGAAAGTGGTTTGTATGATATGGGCAGATGAATATTTTTATTATATGCGAATAATCAATCTGTTAAAGTTTACATTCACCTGGAAACCTCTTTAGAGAAATATATTCTACTTTATTCAATATTCTAAAATATTTTGGAAAAACAGCATTTTCTACTCTGGGGAAAAAGAGTGACTTAATGAGCTCCTCAAACAAAATACAATCCCCCTTTTTCTATCAAATAGTCCCAATAACCTGTGTGTCATACAGAACATGTTCTTCACAAATGAGCTTCCTATTGCTAAACCAACATATTATTTAGGGGGAGAATGTCATTTACCCACAAGACAATACCTCTGCCTTAAGGGAAAATTTTATTTTTATTTATTTATTTTTTAATTTTTATTTTTTAAAGATTTTATTTATTTATTTGACAGAGAGATAGCGAGAGCAGGAACACAAGCAGGGGGAGTGGGAGAGGGAGAAGCAGGCTTCCCGCCAAGCAGGGAGCTCGATGTGGGGCTCGATCCCAGGACCCTAGGGATCATGACCTGAGCCGAAGGCAGACGCATAACGACTGAGCCACCCAGGCGCCCCTTAAGGGAAAATTTTAAAAAACAACAGATAAATTAGGATTATTCAATTACTGTAGGATCACAGCTATATTTTTTTGAATTAGGGGCAACCATAATCCATTTAGGTTTGCTTCCATCTGTCATTAGCTACTTGAGCAAGCTTTGATGGGGAGGGGTGAGAAAGTTTTAGTCTAATGAGTCATTGCTTGGTGAAGATCAGTCTCAAAATATGATGAAACTTTTCTTCTGGCAATCTAGTTAGCAAGTAAAACTAACACATATGAAGCAATAATTACATGCAAAGCTATCTTGGGAGGAGTGTCTTTTTTTTAAGATATGTTTAAATAAATACTGACACCTTATGTTTTTGATTATAATTTCAGATATCCAGCTTCTTAGAATGGTGATATGCCATTTGACTAATAGTTGATTAAGTTTTTAGTTAGATGAAAGTTCAGAAAGGGGATGTGCCTGGTATGTGTACCATGGAAGAGAGACCAGAGGTAGGGTATCCGTTCATTCTGCATTTCCTTAAGTAAATATTAATTCTGATGCTACGAAAAGCACTATTTTGGATGCTATTTGAGATGGGTTATCAAGCATAGGTTCTTTCTTCATGGAACCTTAGAGTCTCATTGGGGATTAAAGACCTGTATATGCAGAGTGACTGTAATGCAAGGGGGGAGTAGTGTTGACTAATCAAAGCTGGGTGCCCGTGGAGGAGCTGAGTTGGAAGGATTTGATTACCTTAAGATTTACCTGACGATGCAGTGGGGGCAGGAAAGAGACTAGGGTCAGGGAGATGGTTAGGAAGAGGTTTCAGTAGTGAGATAGACAGAGTAAGGTCTCAAATTAGAACAGGATCAGGAAGGAAGAGGTGAGGAATAGGAAGATTCTTGAGAAATTGCATGGACCTAGAAGCCAGAAGAGACAAAGATGATGACTTCAAGGCTTTGAGACGACATTCAAGGGGCACTAAGAGAGAAGGAACCATCCGTTTTGGTTTGAGTTCAGTTTCAGGCACGTTGAGTTTGAGATGCTGATGGAACATCTAGGCAGAAGTGCCCACTGAACAGGTGGAAAATCAGACTGGGTCTCAAGAGTTCTGGGTATGAACTTTTGTTTAGAGGGAATGTGATGAAATGAGAGGTGTGTCAGACTAGGGAAAGGGTCACTGGGAGAAGAGGACGGAGAAAGGATAGAAGAACCCACAAGACCATACAGCAATCCTGGAAACTATGGATTTCCTCTCTGAGTGTCTGATGTGATAGGTGCCACTTTCCTCCTTGTAGGACGGAGGATTAGCAAGGTCAAAATTACAGGAAAATCAAATGAGGAGATGGCCTTTTAAAAAGACAACATTACCGTGCCTACCTGGGCAGTTTCACGAGGCTAGCGAAGGTGAATGAATTTAAGTTGTAGGTAGGCGAAAGGGAAATGGAATTGGTGGGGATAGACCATTGCCTTTTTGCCACAAGGCTTTGAGCAGTTAAGGGGAGATGAGAGATCAGTTAATAGATTGAGAGGTGTATACAGCAATGGCTTTTTATTGATTTTAAAGAAAAGGGAGAATTTAGCACAATTGAAGACTTAAAGCAGAGGTTCTCAAAAGCATAGGCTGTAGGGCGCCTGGGTGGCTCAGTTGGTTAAGCAACTGCTTTTGGCTCAGGTCATGATCCCGGAGT